ACACTATCTGTGCCCGAGCAAACCGTTTATGTGGAATAAAACCGCGGGCATATGCGGATTAACACCTATTCCGGAAAATTCTAAGTGCTCAACGACCGTAACGCCTCGACACCTGGCTAAAGATGCAAAAGCGGAAATAATTGGCTCTCGTTGGCTAGTGAACGCTCCTCAAAGACAGGCGATCATAGCCTACGATCAACCCGGGGCAAATAGACCTTTGGCGTTACCGGACAAAACGATGTGGATCAGTGTTCCCCAGGGAACAACCATACACATTGGTGATTTGACGCTCTATCACCTCGATCCGGAACGATGGGACGCGACTCTGGATGACTCAGAGTACCTAGGAAATATGTCTATAGACATAGATCCAGAGACTCTGGGAAGGATCCGTTTTGAAGGCACCCAAGTCGTCGACGTGGAACCAATAAACCAAGTTCTCAAGTCCCTCAGGTCCACAACTAAGAACCCGATCCAACCAATTAACTATGCGTGGTCGAGCGCGGACACATTAATCATAGCCCTGCTAATGGCGATAACCCTCGTATTGTGTGGGATACTCGCATCCCTGTTCCGGGGCCAAACGTCACTCCGAGTCGACGTGGATCGCCATGCAGCACACCTCGATATGATTATGCCTCGCGTAAGCGGGTCCGCAAAGAAGCCACTCACACGGGACAGCGCGACTGAAACTGACAACCAGGGTGAGGAGGAGCAGTGAAACGATGTTTCTAGATGCTTAGTCACTACTCTTGTCGGTGTTGAAACGTTTAGTTGATTTTGGTTGTTTCTGAGGTAAGAATGAATCTTGTGTGTAGTAAGTTAGAGACTAAGAAGCCTTTGACCATGCCAACATGCAGTTCATTCATTAAATTGCAATCTTTGCGGAGTCAATGTATATTATTGCTACTTTAAGTACCATAATCTACATTGATCTCACAACGCTTAAGCCGAACCTACTCGAACAATTCTATTCGGGGGGATAGCTAATTCTTTTTGATAAGTCTCGCCATAGACTTCCAAAACATTTATGGGGAAACCAAACACCCAATCTCAAGTCGTTCGTCTAAAAGACAACAGACATTTGAACCAAACTATATTTTGCCATGTAAAGCTAACTTAAGCCAAGTTAGAAATGGAAAAGTAGTTTGGAACCCTTTTCTATAGGCTTAAACCCCTGTAGTTACCCCTTTTCAGCATGCTCCACCCCTTAACTGGTAGTCGTAGCTGTTCCCAACCATAATAGCGTACACACCAGGTGCATATAGTTTAAGGCCTTATGTAAAATCCCCTTCATAAGCCCACCTTAAACCACATAATTGCATGACACATTGAACCAGAACGGCACAGGCTGGACGTCGCTGGAGACAACCTTCGCTGGAGGCGACCTGCAATCCTGACGTTGGTCTCCACTCTTCATCCGGTGGCCGCTTCTTCAGTTCAATCCAAGGGTACCCCTCTGTATGCTGATTAATCAACACTTCCAATCGTTGTGGATTTACCGTTGTGGATTATATGACTTTTTCCAATGGATTACAGACTCTGTTTCCAAGGGGTTAAAGCATTGCTACAATGGAATTATCGAGACGATATGGAATTATAATCAACACATTGGAATTACCAAGAACATTGTGGGATTACCTTGACTTTTGTTTTCCTTGCTGGATTACTTTTGACTTTTGTTTTCCTTGCTGGATTACTCTTGACTCTTGTTTCTTTGCTGGATTACATCAAGCTTCAAGGACAATCGACGACGTAAGTCGATAGTTGGAATTCATCTCCATGGACAGGTGATGATTTCCAAAGGGGGGACTGTAGTGGGCTAGGCCTACGTCGAAACTAAGTCTAAGGTCAAAACTCTTGACCTTTAGAACCTTGTGGGACAGAAGCTGTCATTTCATGTATTTGAATCCATAAATACAGGTTCACCCATCCTGAGACTTTCTTTCTTGAAGATTCAAGTGAAAAGAACACTCTCTTTTTATTATCATTACTATCTTACAAATGTTGATAATCAAAGTGTCTTAGTTCAAACCATTTTAGATGTTGCAGTGAACTAATCAATTTTATTAACTGAGTAATGGTTTTTATTCTCATGCAAAAGTTAGAACTCATGTTAAAAGCTGTTGCAGAGTAATTATGCATTTTTCTGATTTCTGCTTTTGAATGAGCAAGTGTGTGCGTTTACAAGGTTACAGTCAAACGAAAAACAAGTTGTTATGTTAAAACTGTCATGTTTTAGAATCCTCTCAGACGTAAGTAGAGATGTTTTGCACCTGTTTCCTGAAACACGCCAAAACAAAACCCTCTCGGTCTGTGAGAACATTTCTGAGCTGTCCCATAACAATTCTAGCTGTCTCTAACCTCTTGCGTCACAAAACCCACCCCGTCTGGTCGTTTCTGACCAATGAAAAATCCCAAAAAGTGAACCGGGAAAGAGTCTTTAAAATGTCAGGACTTCCTGGTCGACACAGACTCAGAGTTACAGAGTTGGAGAGTTGTCAGACTTCTAGAGTTCTGGAGTTCTGAAGTTGCTGGAGTGCTGGAGAGTTTTCTGCTGGTTCTGCTCAAGTTCTGTTAGAGACGGGATGATCTTGACATGACAAAAGGCTCTTCCGAGTTCCATGGGATTATAACTTTCACTAGCCACTACTTCTGACGAGCTACAGCCACCGCAGGAGACGCTGGACAGGTAGCGTTAACGGAATTCCATATCTGCTGATAAATCTTCAGAAAGGTAATGGATCAAGTTTCCTACCAAGCGTACCGAAGGAGAGCTGGGCTTCTGATGGAGAGTGTCGGTTCTGGTGAACATTCCTCCCTTCCCATTCAATCTTACTCCCTTTAACTTCTTTCATCTTTAACTTTCTATCAAGTAGAAATTCTCCCAGATATTTAGAAATGTCTGTGTAAAGTGCTTATTCACATCCGTGTGGGTAAAAGATCATAGTTGTACAGTTTTATAAATGTCTGTGGTGCAGCAACGGAAAAATCATGGCCGTATGATTTTTCCTGATTGATTGCTTATATTGTTATTTTCATAATTTGCCAAATTAATGTAAATGTTTGATGTTAAATTTGATTCTGTAAATAAATGACCGCATTCATTTTGATGGGTCAAATATAAATGACGTCTCACTTTGCATTTCCTTAAATTCAATGCACGTTTTATTCAGTCCAGAAAAATGAGGAACCCGCGTTAAATGATGAATATATCCCAGCATCTGTTCATCTACACGACATAGAACGTTGGTTACGTACTGTAACCCCAGATTCTATGAGTATAGGCGTAGCCCTTTAAGCGTCAGGCCTCACTGGCTCCTGGATAGCTGAAGAAAAAAATAAAGCTATTTCGGAGCCGATTACCCGCTCTTAATGTAACTTATACGGATCGGGTGGGGCCCACACAGCAGGTGGGCGTGGACTAATTTTTTAAGTGTGATGTTTCGCATAACGGGATAAACCCACTAAGCGACAGCCTTAAAGGGCTACGCCTATACTCACAGAATCTGGGGTTACAGTACGTAACCAACGGTTTTAGACATAATGTCTGTGGTTACGGCATTTCATCATTCAGCCTTTTTTTCTATCGTCCAATCAGATATGACCGCCCAGATACGCCCACTTTCTTATAGTCCAATCAGATATGATCGCCCAGATACGCCTTCCGAATTTGCCTGCAGAGATACCTACTTGAAATGGCCAGCCTGCAGTCCAGATCTTTCACCTATAAGAGAACATTTGGCGCATCATAAAGAAGAAGGTGCGACAAAGAAGGCCCAAGATGATTGAGCAGTTAAGAGGCCTGTATTAAAAGACATGAATGGGAGAGCATTCCTATTTCTAAACTTGAGAAACTGGTCTCCTCTGTCCCCAGACATCTGTTGAGTGTTGTAAGGGGGGATGCCACACAGTGGTAAAAATGGACTTGTCCCAACTTTTTTGGCATTGACGCCATGAAATTTGGAAACAACAGATTTTTCCCTTAAAATGATACATTCTCTGTTTAAACTTTGGATCTGCAATTTGTGTTCTACTCTGAATAAATTATTAGATGCTGGCACCTCCACATCATTGCATTCAGTTTTTATTCACATTTTGTTTAGTGTCCCAACTTTTTTGGAATCTGGTTTGTAGTTGTAGCTAAAATCTGTTGCTGCTGTTACACTTTAATTTCCCATCCGTGGGACAATAAAGGCTGTTTCTATTCTATTCTAAATATGTTAGACATTGCTAAATATGCTAACAGATGTAGCTAAATATGCTAGATTTAGCTAAATATGTTGATTGTAGCTAAATATGCTAGTAGATGTAATCTGCAGTCACTTCTTCAGCTCGTCCTCCATCCCTCATCCTCAGCAGACAGCGGTATGATTACATTGTCCTGTTTGAGATCTGACAGGTGGTGTTTCTAGATGTTTAAATTAAATCCACAATGCTCAGAGAAACTACATTTGCTCGTATTGTTCACACACATAAACGCTAGTTTTGGTCCACGCCAGAAGTCACGCCCATAAGTCACGCAAGGCAGCATGGAGGCTAGGAATAAGTTGAATAGAAAGTACGCCTGGACCTGTCATTCTATTTGTTTCTCCTTCCTGTCCTCTCCAACCCAGTCGGTCTTCCTGTTAAAAGGGAATTTTTCCTTTCCACTGCCTCCTTTGTGCTTGCTCAGTATGGAAGACTGACGAAGATTCAACACAATCTGCTGGCTTCATTAGACAGAGAACTTTTACTACTTGGCTTTTTATGTATGTGAATGTTTTTGTTCTGTGTTCTGAGACAACCTCTGTTGTAACTTTGTGCTATATAAATGAACTGAATTGAATTTAAACAGCTAACACAATTGTACAATGAGAGGATCTCTGAGGAACAGAGGTGTACTAGTGTTAATTTTCAAGGGCAAGGGGGATGTGCACAGCTTCTGCCAGCAGCGTAGTGCTTGCTAACACACTTTGGTCAATCTGTAAGGGCATTTTGAGAATGAAAGTCTGAAAACGTTTAAGGTAAATCCATCCTTTATTAAATGCTAGAGAACAAGTAGTCTACAGATGTTTGACCCCAACAAGTCATAGATCCAGATGACCAGTGTCACTCACTGACAGCACTGTTGTGTAGAAGGCTGGATACATCTTTATACACACACAATGAAGCATACAGTAAGAGGATCACTTCACTGAGTGAAACGGGTTGAAACAATCATTCAGTTGCTTTAATGTAGCGCAACACTCAAAAGATTTAAAAGCTTGCAAGTTCTGCAGATTCTCTTACATACACAATACTCCATTTATATAAAAAGAAATTTTGGGTGACGAGTACACATCCCAAGCAGATGAAGACCTGATAGAAAATGTGCACAATGACGATGGTAGTCTGCACACACACCAGAGCTGTACATTCATTCAAGCCTTTACTGAGTCCCATTTAAACAAGTGTTTTTAAGTATGTGCACACTCTAAAAGAAGGAGAAGAAAGACAGATGTGTACAGTTGGAGGTCTGGACGAAAGATTGTGGGCTACCATCAGGTACCTTTGCAGAGGGGCATCGATCCTTGCCCACCTCATTAATTAAGGTTATGGGCGAGGACGTCACAGACAGCCCTAACACACACACAGGTGGTATGTGCTGGAGCTCCTCTGTGCAGGACACACTGGTGGGGCCCAGGAGGAGTATCAGCATTGTAACCCCGCCGTTCAGCAGGCTGCCCTCTCATCAGACTCACGGTTCTTGGCTCCCTGTAAGCTTAAACAAGTGCTTTCATTGGATTACAAGCTGGCTGTGATGTTTGGTTTGTCCTGAGAAACAAGTGTCACGTGAAGCTTAAGAAGAAACAGAGAACTAAGACGATGTTATCAGAGTCTACTGAAGGAGCAGCCTGCTAAACAAGCAGGGTTTAACCTCAGCAGCCAGCCTGGGTGATGTCTCCTCCAGATCTTTTGGTCACCTCCAAAGTAGTAAAGACCTGTAAAATACACACACACACACTCAGTCAACACAAGCTTGACTCAAACAGACCTGGATGGTTCAGAACCACTCATTCGGCTCTTCTTGGTAACCTGAAATAAACAACTCAGAACAAAGGCTGTAATGAGATCCTTCCTGCATGGAAATTAAGGTATTATAGTCAACAGCTTCATAAACATCAGCACGGAATATTAAACAGTGTAATTAAATTAATGTGATGTTAGACATCCCTCTGAAGTTACCTGAGCAGCTTAATCAGGGTATATGCAGGAATAATGAAGTTAATTTCAATACCTTTTCAAGACTTTTTCAAGACCTTCCAAAATAAATTCAAGACCTTATCGTCACTTTGTTTTATTAAGCAACAAATCTTTGATTTACAAAACTGCTGTTGTTTTCAATTAAATCCGTGAATCTCAAACCTACAACAGAACTGAGATACAGTGGATAGAAAAAAATTCAAAAGAAGAAACTGAACCACGACTAGGTTTAAGAAAATATAGCTTAGGTTACAAAAACTCGTAGTTGTTTTAAAGTAACTTGGTTGAACAATGGCGAATAAGAAATAAACACAGTAATCATTACATGTGCCTCAGTGCAGTTGCTTTGCATTCCAGCAACTCTTCAGTTTGCACCAGCTCACTGAGTTTTTCTTTACGTCTCCTTCTCAAGACATTGGACTTGGTGATCAGTTGGGCCATTAAAGAACCTGACTTTCCCTCTGCCTGCTCTGCCAACTGATCTGCATCTTTTTGCAGAGAATCGCACACCTCTTGTAGAAGTTTTCTCTTTTTTTTCAGCTCTTCTAACTCAGCTCCAGCTGCTTTCCTCTTAAGGCTCTGTGTGGAAGTTTCTTTCTTCTTTCGTTGCTGTTCCAGGTAAATCCTGTACTTTGACCTTGCAGAGGCAACAGAAGCCAGCAGCTCCTTGGTCAGAGGTACCTGCAGAACACCCCCACAGACACTGACCTTGTCGCAGATCAACCTCAACCTTGGTTGGTTCAGGCACACGGTTAGATGGAAGCGCTGTCGCTGGTGGAGCACAGAAACTGCTGATAGACATCTGCGTTTTGCGGCTAGCTGCACTTTTGTGGCTAGCTCCAGTCATATGGGACTTCAAGGCGTTTATGCCCATCGAGGCTACGCTCATCTTTTTTTTTACAAAATGTACAATAAGCCTCGCGGTTATTCTCGGCGACAGGCCTCAGCCATTCTTGAAAATCAGGCATCTCCAACCAGGAGTCAGAAAACTTGCATTTACCCATTGTTCTCACGGTCTCGCGGCAACTTACTCGAACACACAGACTCAAAGCAGCCGCGCATGCGCACAAGATAGGCCTAGCCGTTAAGGCTGTTGTAACCTGACACTCTAAATTTGTGCGAAGCAGTTTCCGAATCCTCCGCGGTGAGGAAAACAAATATTAGTCATACATACTTTTTGCTGTCAAATTATTTAAAGCTAGAATAACAGCAAAAAAAATAATACCTCATCAAATCGCTTTCAAGACTTTTTAATACTTTTCAAGACCCTTAATTTTCCCAAATTTGATTTATCAACTTTTAATAACTTTCAAGACCCCGCGGACACTCTGTTAATGTGCTGCAATTAGCTTTGGAAGACATTACCATACTGAATGAATGATGCTGTATTTTAGTAAAGCTAATAAACAAATAGAGCTGATTAGGGCTGCAACAATGAATCGATAAAAATCGATGATTAAAAGCGTTGGCAACGAATTACATTATTGATTCGTAGTGTCGTGCGATTAAGTGTCTTTCACAGCGCTGCAGAGCCATTTTGTTCAGCTGCAGTGCGTTGTCAATACTGACTGACTGAATAAAGTAAAACAAAACAAAACAAACCTCTGCAGCGCGAGTTGAACAGAGCGAGGGGGAAGGTGGAAGCAGAGCAGATCGATTCATCGATTATTGAAATAATCGTTAGTTGCAGCCCTAGAGCTGATCCATAATTCCACTAAAGATCTTCACAAATAATTAACGATCGGATGATATAAGACAGGGAGTCCCTTAAAATGGTGCCTACTGCTGTCACACTGGATAAACACAAGACTCAATGTTTGCACAATTAAAAACAATCTCTTTGATTTGGATTATTTTTTCCCATTTTCACAAACTCTTGTTATAAACAAGAACAAACTCTTGTTATAAACAAGAACACGAAACATACAACAAGTATACGAAGCCCAGCCATTAGTCTGCTCTCAATAATGATGTAAGCTCACAACTGAACCAGCGTCCTTCAGACAAACCTCGTCCTCTTACCTCAGCACAGGTGGGGTGGATGCCAATGGTGTTGTCCAGCTGCTCCTTGGTGACACCACATTTCATGGCTGCACCGAAGCCCTGCGTCACCTCCCCCGCATTAGGGCCCAGGTAGTGGAAGCCGATAACTCGATCCTGACAGACAACAGCAGGGAACACTCAAACAAACAAGGACTGAGCTGCTCACTGATTTGACTGGAAAAGTAAGAGCAGACATACGTTGTCAAGTTTATTGCAGATGATCTTGGAGTAGCATTTGTTGTTGTCACGGCCGGGCACCGTATACTCCAGAGGCCAGAACAGACTGTGGTACACCTGAACACAACACAAGCAACTTTATGTGAGCGAAAGCAAGACAAATATATCAAACATTAGAAAAACTTTGGTTCGTTCAGAATGCTGTAGCCAGAGTAAGAACCACAACAAGTAAACCTGAGCATGGTAGACCTGAACCAACATCTCTGTTGCTTTCCAGACAAACTATCCATTTAAAAACACTTCTTACTGTTTGCAAAGCTTTAAACAGGCCTGACTCTCTCCTTTGTTGCTGGTAATCTCCCTGAATCGTAGGGCTGGACAATAATCCGATACTGATATATATCACGATACACTTCTAATCAATAATGGTGATATGAGTTTTAAGCACATTTTCGATATTTCCATATGATTACAGCGTTTCACCGACGCATCTTTTTCTGTTCAGGTTGAAGCGGCCGCTTCAGTTTCAACCTGAACAGAAAAAGCCGCGACACACAACTATGAAAGTGTGTGGTGACGTACACCTCACACAGAGCTCTAGTCCAGAAGGAGTCAGCAGTAGCAGGCTAGGCTAATCAATTCAATTCAATTCAATAATACTTTATTAATCCCAAAGGGAAATTATTTTGTTGTTGTAACTCGTTATCCTCATTTCATTAAGAGATGTTATAGATACTGATGGATGCAGACAGGAAGAATCTCTTGTAAAGGTCCATCCCACAGAGGATCCTAAGAAACTGGTTGCAGATGCCGTCCGATCAGTCGACTCAGACTTGGCTGGCCTCTCGGTTCCCCTGGATTGTAGGACCGCTTGAATGCTGGGCAGAACTCCTCCCAGAGTGATGGCCACTCCTCCCAGCAGTCTGCCGAGCTCCTCATAGCTGTGGACAGTCAACTTTAGGTGCTGAGGGACGATCCTGTCTATCCGCTGTCGTGAGCCGTGTTTCCTGCTAGTTCCAGGATCTCAGCGGTCAGGCACTCAAGCACAGCTGGCAGGTAGATGAGAATGCGTCCACAGAACATCCTTTTCAACTCATTCTAGAGTTGGGGCCATAGTTGAGATATTATTTGAGCTTTTGAGATGTTAAATCAGCTGCTGTTGTTGTAGAAAACTGCTTCGTTGCCATGGTTACGCATCATAACAAATGTCCAAAACCAAAAAAGTTTCAGTAAAAATCCTTCCGGCTGCACAGCATCTGATACCAGAGAAAACAATCATCCAAAAAATGTGATTTACATCCAGAAGACCAGGAATTAAAGTTTCCAAAAGTAAAATCTCAGAATGAAAGTAAAAGAGCTGCTCCAACATGCAACCACCTTGAGCGGCGCAATTCTAGAATCTCCAACGCGCGTTAAGTTTTCGCTTCAAAATGCGTGTCCATGACCGTCAGAATGTGACTGAACAAGATTTCACAAGCGAAGAGAAAGCAGATGACATAACTGATAAGAGAGGAAAGACTAACTCTGCGGTGTGGAAGTGGTTCAGCTATCTAAGATCCAATAAACTGCAGGTTTTAGTCAGTGTGCTGCAAAATGTTAAGGAGTCATTCGGCGTATTGTTTTTATTCCATTAGTGCTTAGTATATTTTTAGTTGATGGTTTTCTTAGTTCATATCTTAGATCTTATTACTGTTTATCTTTTACATTTTATTGTCGGATGTAACTGGCACCCTGTGTACATTATTTCGTTCCACCACATGTACCACATATGCTGCGTATGACAAAGAAACTGACACTCTCTGACACAAACTAGTGGTGGGAACACATCTAACTTCTGAAGAGTTCCCACTCGATAGAATATGATGAGTTAGAAGATGAAGCACAATAAACGTTTAAGCAAACGTGTCCCTGAAACAACACCCCCAGCTGTATCAAAAGAGAAACACATGGGTTGATAGGTTATGTTGTTGTTTAAAGTTAAAACTCTTCGTTCAGAACACTGTAGCCAGAGTACAAACCATCCATCCATCCATTTTCTTCCACTTAACTGGGGTTGGGTCACGGGGGTAGCAGCCTAAGTAGGGAGGCCCAGACTTCCCTCTCCCCAGTCACTTGGGCCAGCTCCTCCGGGGAAATCCCGGCGCATTCCCAGGCCAGCCGAGAAACATATGCCCCTTTTCCACTGTCACGGCGCGGGTCGGATATTTCCGGCTTGGCCCGTGTTTGAAGTCTTTTCCACGGTTCCAGGGACCGGCTCGCCTCCCTAAATTCTTCTCAAGGGGTCCAAGCGAGCCGAGCCGTGACGTCAGAAACACTGTCGGTCACTGATTGGTCAGGGGGAGGAGTCTGTGGAGTCTTTCCAAACAACCCAATCCGCCATTTTTTCTCTCCCGCTTGCTATTAGCGATAACTCCAGGAGTGTATCTTTTAGTATTTTGAAGCTATACAAAAACAATAATATCAAAGCTGTGGTCAAATACAGAAGTGCAGGTGTTGTTGTGCTTGGTGGCCGACGAAAAAGTCAAAGCGAGCTAGATGGAGCGATTGGAGGGTGGTTTGGACACGGTTACTACTCTACTTGAATCATTTATAGAAGATGGTGAGTGTTTTCTAACTTTAAACATATTTGAAGTTACTCATCCCATCGGTTCTGAACATATTTTTAACTAACAAAAGAGGCTGACGCCATAATAGGACAACATCAGTGCTACGATGCTAAGCTAATTTGCATAAACGCTAACTGTCCTCCGGTCCCGTTTCTTACTGTATTTTATCCAGAACGTATTTCAGCGCAACGGTTCGTCTCTAAACCTTACATTAAACCCTCCAAGCCTCCCGGCTTCTGCCCCTGCTCCATCAGCAGAGTCTGCACCTGACAGGTCTCCATCGCAGCCCAGCTGCACCTCACAGAGCAGCACAACGCTGCAGCCTTCTGTGATTGGTAAGAACAGATGCAACATGTTCCACATCACTTTATTTGTGCCAATAAGGACTTGCTTTTATTTTATTTTTAAAGTAAAAAAATAAAATGTTGAATAAATACTGAATTGGGAGGAAATTATGTATACAGGGTCCCAGTTACAGACAACAAAATGTAAAAGAAAAACAGTAATAAGATCTAAGATATGAATTAAGAAAAATATCAACTAAAAAACATCTAATAATACACCAAAAACTAATAGCTAGGGCTGGGTACCTTTCTAAAAAAAATCGGTATCGGTGTCGGTACCTTCACTTCGGTGTCGGTTCCTGGACGGTTCTTTTTTCGGTACCAATTTTGTAATTAATATTCATTCTAAAGATTAAAATTATGTTACACATTATAGTACAAATTGTGAATTTTATTTTTTAACTTTGGTATTTTTCCCATTCCAAGTAGTTTTCTTACATAGAAACAAACAATTTCCAGTTCAAAAGAACAGTTTCAAACCAGTGACACGTCAGTGTCTAATGCTCACTGCTACACACTGAGGACCTTTTCACTTAACAGTTTTTCCTCAGAAACAACATGTCTGCTTTCTCTGGACACAAACAAGCCTGCTCCTGGCTGATGGGTGTCTCCAGCAGTAGAAAATGTTCACTCTGAGGCTGTAGATGATGCTTGTTGCACACACAGATACCTGGATGTCAGTTTGACAGCACTGACATATTGTCCCACACATTCAACCAGCAGGTCACTGGATTCAATGAGGTAGGGATGATGCAGACTTCTGCACCTCTGTGTTTCTGCCTGAATCTTCTCTCTGGTTCTCTGGGGTTTAGGGCTCTGATCATCTCCCTAATTGAAATGAGAACAAAACATCAACAATAACATGGTTGTGTTATTATTGCTCAAAAAACATTATCTAGGCTGAGAGATAAAAGCTTAAATGGTCAACAACATCTTTTACAGTTTACTTACCTCCAACATGCAGCTTCACTGTAGAAAAAGACGGCAAACTTTTAACAACAAAGTCTGATTGTCCTGTGGCCTCCACCTCACTTTTCTGTCTGTCCTCACATCTGGGTCAGAACCTCCTGTGAGGCGAACATTAACATGAACAGTGAACATTAGTGAACTGTTTAAGCAGCTGACTGGAAGGATGAGCAGTTTTACAAGCTAAGCTTCATCTGTTACTGTCAATCTTTAGTTAGCTTCTGAGTTTAGCTAGCTACGTAGATAAAATAAATTTACACACTAATATGTTAAAGTTAGCGTTATTTCACTGCGATGTACGTATTAACAAACTTAAAGTCCATGCTCAATAATCTAGGTATAAAATCCAACATTTTTCAGTCAGGTCAGTCAGGTTAGCAAACGTAAACTCACCAGCTGTAACAGACACAGCTCCGTCCTCGGAGTTTTTTGATGAAGACGAGTCCGGCTTGGAATGTTGATTCGGTCCGTTTCACACACACAGACTGACACGCTGAGAGGAGGGAGGAGGAAGCTGCTGTCAGTCTCTCTTCTTGCAGAGAAACACGGAGCAACTTTCTGTGCGTGTGTTGTCGGATCCGTTTGACAACACACGCGCTGCACACGTGAACCCCGTCTGTGAGCGGTGTAACCAGCACATAGACATAGATTGTACATAGAATAGGTGCGGCAGCTCTATACAGCTCTGGGTGTAAACACGTAGTCTGTTTGTCATATGTCTGGTGTCTTACCTGCCTGCATGCTGAAACCACGTGACACCTTACAGTCAATACCGAAACTTGACACCGAAAAAAGAATGACGTTTCAATACATACAGGTCCTTCTTAAAAAATTAGCATATTGTGATAAAGGTCATTATTTTCCATAATGTAATGATAAAAATGAAACTTTCATATATTTCAGATTCATTGCACACCAACTGAAATATTTCAGGTCTTTAATTGTTTTAATACTGATGATTATGGCATACAGCTCATGAAAACCCAAAATGCCTGCCCCAAAAAATTAGCATATCATGAAAAGGTTCTCTAAACAAGCTATTAACCTAACCATCTGAATCAACGACGGAACTCTAAACACCTGCAAAAGATTCCTGAGGCTTTTAAAAACTCCCAGCCTTGTTCATTACTCAAAACCGCAATCATGGGTAAGACTGCTGACCTGACTGCTGTCCAGAAGGCCATATTGACACCCTCAAGCA